ACCAGGTTGATTCTATGATTCTGTGGTATCAGCTCTAAGAGCAGTGTCTGTCCCACACGCTCAGGCTCCCTTCCCTCTCCATCCATACAGCACTCCTGGAACAAACCAGTGTGCTGTTAATGGAAGAGCTGGACAAAAACGTTAGGTGTTCAACAATATCAAGTATTGCAAATCAGAAAAAGGATTTTGCCTCTTCTCTGGTGACTGAGATAATGAGTTTTATACCAGTACCTTAATCTGACTTTTATTTGAATTCGGACTAGAATATCAATTATTATCTAATTTTCCAGCTGTCTTTTAGCTCGCTGGAGGATGACAAGATGCTTGGCAGGAGTAGAAAGATCCAATGTTTGCTAATGATTAGATACTTCACTGTTGATAGTTTGTTATGTCTTGCTTTTAAAAAGAAATGTGATCCTTTGGGGCATTGGCAACAGCTGTCAGACAGTGCAGTTTATGTGAGTGGAGGGTTTAGTGTTGGAGCTGTGGCATTTTAAAGGGAAGGAATTCTGGGAATACAGGTGGGTTGTTGGTTGGTGTGAGTCAAATGCACACTGCCTGAGAAGGTTTCCTCATTCAGTCTCCTCAGCAAGGTAGAATTTTCAGGCACTTAATCAAGGTAGATCTTTCAGGTACTTTGCACCCAGTTGGTACAGGGAGGATTTCTTCTTGAATCTTCCTTCTTAAGGAAAGTCAGAGCTGCCTTAGGCACTTGTCCACAGCCAAAATATTTCTGGAGGGTAATTTGTGCTCACTGTGGACATTTGGCTCTTCAACCAAAATGTTAGTAGGGCTTTAAAGGGAAAAAAAAAGTTTATGCTTTTAATTACAGCATTTGCATGCAGTTATATAATTGAACTTCAATGTGCTCAAGGTTTGTCCTGCTTTTGGCTACCAGCTGAGTTATACCATCATAAGGGAAGCCCAACTATCCCCTGCTGACAGTCTGGAAAACCTGTTACTAAGGGAACAAGGTTTTATGTTTTTTTAAACTTTCCTTTGGGAAAACAGAAGCTTATCCTGACTCAAAAGCTGCTGGAAGTGAGCCAAGACCTGGAAACCAGCAGGTTTCTTGGGGGAGGTTAGGACTTCTCCCAGAAAACAGAACATACTGGTCTATGCCTGCAGAATTACTGTGCAGAGTCTCAAACACAAGGAGATAACTGCAAGCGGTTTAAAATACACTGTTTATGTGAAATGAGTTATACAACTAACACAGTTTTGCCTACATATGTTTCCAGGGCTGAAAATAATGATCTGTGCTGATTTATTAGGGTTCATGAGTCAAACGTTAAATGAGTTTTAGTTTGTTTGCCTGTCCCTGGTTTGTGAAGTAGGATGTTTTCAGAGCTCTGAGCAGTCACAGAATTAGGCAATATTAAACTCTCAGATTTATGCTACTCCTGCCTGTTTGCTTGATAGAGTCATCACTCCTGTGCAGCTTGCGGAGCAGCTCCAGCTCTGAGCCAAGAGGGAGATCTGAACCTGCCAAGCAGCCACTGAAGAAACCAAAGCATCCAGTAGGTCGATTTGATGAACCAGAAGAGTCCAGTGTGGAGAAGGAACCCCTGGAAAGTAAGTCATGGTTTGCAGAATTGAAAGCTGAGTTTTAAAGGCAAGACCCAGAGATGAAGTGCTGATGTCAGGTTAAGAGGAGGACAGACATTCAGCTCTCCTCACAATCTCTGGCTAAGCCTCATGGTTCTATGGTTCTGAGAGAAACCAGAGGGGCAGGGCAGTAGGCACAAGTGCAGCAAATGGGGCATGGGGGAAAAAGTGTCCAGAACCAGGATGATCACACATCCAGAGAACCTGTGATCGCTCTCCTCTTGGAGATACTCAGCTCTGCCTGTCTGTCCTGACCTTGCTTTGGGCAGGGTTGGGGCCAGGTGTCTGGCAGAGCTGCATTTCCCCCACAAACAACTGTGTGTTAGAGCAATGCAGCTGGTGTTGGTCTGTAGTACAGCTGTAAATGTTGGTAGTAAACTCATGAGGACACCAGCTACTTTATATTATCCAAATAGCCTCTTCTATTTCTTAGTCTGCAAATATTTCTGATTCAGGCTGTATTTCATGGCCAGACTTGCTCTTGTCTTGCAGACAATGTTTTGGAAAGAAACAGCAGATACTGAGTTTACTGAGCTGCTCAGTGGGGTCCCTTGGCTAAGAGTGCTAGTCCTGCTTCATCTAATGCACCATAGTGTAATGTTACTGTTCACCAGTAGTGGTAACCCATGTTTATCTATTTTGAGGTCTCTAGGACACAGTACTCCAGGTGGAGTTGTTTGGAGGGGGGGCAGACAATGTTTTGGAAAGAAACAGCAGATACTGAGTTTACTGAGCTGCTCAGTGGGGTCCCTTGGCTAAGAGTGCTAGTCCTGCTTCATCTAATGCACCATAGTGTAATGTTACTGTTCACCAGTAGTGGTAACCCATGTTTATCTATTTTGAGGTCTCTAGGACACAGTACTCCAGGTGGAGTTGTTTGGAGGGGGGGGTTGATTTTTCTCTAGGACACAGTACTCCAGGTGGAGCTGTTTGGAGGGGGGGTGTTGATTTTTATTTTTTTTAAAATCAAATATTTATTATACAAGAACTTCTAAAGAGCCAATGCAAAGAATAACTTCCGACTATTTGCAACAAATTAAACACAAGTTTCTTCTGCTCAACATAAATCTTCATGAACTAGACATGAACAGGTTGATAAAACATTTTCTTCTCATTCTTCCATATACAAAATATATTTTGCCTTTACCTGGAAGCACTGAGATCCCAGGGAAAAGAAATAGAGACTGATTTGTAATCTCCAAGGGGAAGAAGGTGGCAGAGTGCCCACTGGAAGCAGAATTTCCTTCTGCTGTAGACATTCCTTCATGAAATACTTCAAAGGCATTGCAGGGCCCTTCTGTGCAGAGCTGGTAATTGCCTCAGACTTGGGGATGTAGTCTTGGATAAACAGCATTTTCTGGAACTGAATGTGATGCTGCTTCATGAGAGTATTGCCATGCACCTCCAGAAAATTAACAGGCAATTACTGAAATGATTTCTGTAGGACTCTGGGAAATGTCTAACTCCAGGTTGCCTTTAAGAACAGAAGAAAATTGGTTTTGTATTTGAAATTGAAGCTGAGAGGCAAGCATCATGAATTGTGACATCTATATGTGGTGTCAACATTATAGGAATTTTAATGAGCTTTCCCTGTTGTTTTAGAATTCCCTGATGGAATCAATCCTGTTACAAAAGAGAGGGGTGGACCTAGAGGCCCTGAACCTACACGTTTTGGAGACTGGGAGAGAAAAGGACGTTGTATAGATTTTTAATGTTTAAATGTGTCTGTATTGCTAATAAAATATTTCTTGATGTTGAAAAATGTACAGAAAAAATCTTGCCTGGATTTGTTGTGAAAGCTTCTTGTTTCTGTCATGCTTGTGGTGAATTTTCTGAGTGATATTCTGTAAATAAACACAATGCTGCCACTCAGATTATGGAGCTGTTATTTGCTCAGTGTCTGCCTGATCTTTAATGCTGTTTATACCGTGCAAGTAGAAATGCAGCTGTAGTCATGTGAAATTGGTAGTCAGGAGCTTACTGAGATGTCTAAGGGCTTGGTAGTGCAGGTAAACATTTATGTGCTGTCGTACAAGTGTTGAAAGAGGTTTGCAGTTGATGAGCCTGGACACCATTCATCCAAAGCAGAGTCATCCCAGAGGAGAGCAGGAGGTCTCTGATTGCACACTGTGGTTCCCTGGTACAAGCCCCTTTGCTCCAGAACCACCCCCTCTGTCCCTGTTGCAGTGGGTTGGGATTTGCTTCCTGCTTGTGGAGAGGGAACAGTCTCATCTCAGATTGCAGACTGGAAATAGCATGATGGAAAGGGAGGCTTAATTCCAAGAGGGTCAGCTCGTGATTTTAAGGAGCATGGGGGTGCTCTGTGTGCAGTTCTGGAGTGCTGTTCTTTGTAACCTAACTGCTTCCGTGCTGGTGGCATCATCTTTTCCTCTGCAAGTGGAGATGCCCATTTGCAAACGTGCTCAGTGCTGCTTGGGGAAAACATGGCTTTACTTTCTGACACTGTATGTTCAAGGGGGACTCATTCTATTAGACAATATAATATTGCAGGTCTTAAAACTGAGTTCTGTGGCGTCAAACGGAATCTCTTTCAGTCAGACTGAGCTCAGTTCATTCAAGAATCTGCCTAGTTGTAAATACTGTAATAGAGTGCAAATCTCCCTCTTGTGTGGGTACTTGCTAATCAGAATAAGTTGTCATTGCAGTGTGTGACCGTGTGCTCTGTTTCTGTGCAAGTTCTTTCTGACAGCCTGAACAAAAGGATCTTCTCTAGTCACAGAGTTGTAGAATGGCTTGGGATGGAAGGACCTTAGAGATCATCTAGTTCCAACCCACCTGACATGGGCAGGGACATCTTCCCCTAGACCAGGTTGCTCAGGGCCTCATCCAGCTTCTTCTTGAACACTTCTAGGGATGGAGCATCCACACCTTCTCTGGACAACCTGTTCTAGTGCCTCACCACCCTCTGAGGAAAATAATTTCTTCCTAATATCTACCATAAATCTCAGAGTTTAGAGCCATTCCCTCTCGTCCTGCCACTATCTGCCTGTGTAAAAAGTCACTCTTCCTCTTTTTTGTTGTAAGCCCCCTAAAAGTACTGGAAGGCTGCGACGAGCTCTTCCTAGGGCCTTCTTCAGGCTGAACAACGCGAGCTCTTAGCCTTTCCTTATAGGAGAGGTGTTCCAGCCCTCAGAACATCTTTGTGTCCCTCCTCTGGACATGCTCAAACAGTTCCACATCTTTCTTGTGCTGAGGACCCCAGAGCTGAACACAGGACTGGATTTGGGATCTCACCAGGGCAGAGTAGAAGGGGAGAGTCAGGTCTCTTGCCCTGCCGGCCATGCTGCTTTTGATGCAGCCCAGGATGTGGTTGACCTTCTGATGTGTGACCACAGACTGTTGGCTCATACCCAGCTTTGCATCCATGAGAACTCCCAAGTTCTCCCAGGGCTGCTCTCAAAGATTTCCATACCTGTGTATAGGGAGAACATTTCCCCAACCCACCTGCAGTGTCTTGGACAGCCCAGCACAGTTGCCTGCATTTCTTTGTCCTGTATGGCTGTTTGTGCCTTTTGCTGTACCACAGCAAGTTGTTCCTGAGTGGAAGTGAGCTCTGCTCCACGATCCCTGTTGGTTTGCATTACGCTGGCTCTGGGTGGGCTTTGCCCAGCTTTGCCTTCACCTGGTTTTATTAGAGCCTTAAAGTGTGTTGGTCCTATCACAGACCTGTGCAGTCTCCCTCAGACTGAGCTGACTGGTAGCAAATGGGAGCTCCTTGCTGAAATCCACCAGTTTGTGTGCCCTGTGTGCACACATGGGCATAGGATTGTGCTAGTTGTGAGTGCAGATGTTTGTCTCACTCTGATGATTCCCTACAAAAGTACTAAAGCTATTCAGTTAGGTTTATCAACTAAATACCTCCCTGAGGAGCAAAATGAGGTTAACTAGAGCCTGTTTCTCATAAAATATCTTAATTAGTGGTTATTACATTTTGAACCTTTAATCTTTAAATTCTGCAGCGTGGTTTGGGTATTGGAAAATTGGTCTGTATTTATATCTAATTCATTCCAGTTTCCCTTCTGTAGTATGACAGTTAGATCCTCCCAAAATCCACTGACATTTCCAGTTACCTAAAGATCTGCTGGGTCAGCTGTCTTTGAACTTTAATATATGCTGTGTACTAAAATAGTTATTTCTAGTAATGCTTTCCCTTTTCAGTTGCTGGTGGGTTGGAAAATACTTGCCCACACAATGCACCACCTTTTTAAATTGGAAGTAGAAATTTCAGTGGGAAGCTTCTGCCTTTTCTGCATCATTAATAATAGTCTTAACACCTTAATTTGCACTCATTTTAGCTTTGAATTCTAAATCTTCTTCTCCATGGATTGTTGCATGACTTTATTATCTCCTCAGACCAGATTTTACCCTTCCCAGCACACACTCTGTG